ATTTTTTTTTTTTTAAATAATCCAATTAAACTGGCAATAAATAACTAAAAAAATGTAAAAAACGTTTTAACTAAAAGAACTTTTGAACTGTAGTGTCTACAAAAAATTTAATATTTTATTAAAATAACAAATTGAATAATTTTATATCAAATATTGACTAAATTTAACTTATATTTCCATTTGCTGTTTTTTTTTTTTAATGTAAAAATGTTATCCATCTTATCTATCATTTTATCCATTTACTTGCTATTTCTTTGTAACTACGTAAAATTTACCAGCAATTTCTGACTGAAAACTATTTCAAAGTACTATTTTCAATGTTAAAACACCACTTTTTTTCACCTGCGACACCACTGAAAAATACAATACAAGCACTGTTCATGCATGAGGAGTATAAGGCCGGATTCACACTGCAAGTGCGGGCAGCGTGTGAACAGCGCATATTTTTTTCAGCATGCACGTTAAATGAGTGCATTCACACCGGGAGCAGCGTGTGAGCGTCAAGCAGGAGTCTATTTTTGCTGCGCTGCTCACGCTCAATTAAAGTGACAGCACACTTTTGATGGACAAAATAAATATGATTTCACACAAAAAGTGCTAAAAATGCACAGAATAAGCATTTAGAAATCCTGTGCTGAATGTGTTCCCTAGAAGTGGCACGTCTGGTCACCTTATTATATAATTGGCTTACGTGATCCAAATTAGCCGTGACGCTTTTTCCAATGTTATTACGCTTTTTCCAATGTCTCTGGTACGCTTCTGTTTTTAAAAATGCACAGAATAAGCATGTCTAGTGTGTTTTAACAAGAACTGGGAGTATGTCAGAAAAGAAAATGAAGAATCAAAAATATGTTTAGAAGATTTACCCGTTTAAACGGGTTTTTAATTATTCAGTTTGGGTGAAAGTATGGTGCATTATAAAAATAAAAAAAGATTATAAACAGCACATTCTGTATCGAAGTATGACTGAAACGAATCCCCGTGTTAAACTTTCAAGACTTTAAATCTTTCAAGTATATAACTGACCAACTTCTAAAAACAAATTTATAGTTGTCTTTGTAAAGAAATATGTACGTGGTAAATAAAGCTGACGCGAAGCTCAAGAGGTAAATACTGATTACAGGATAGACTACAGATAGAGAGAGAAAAGTAGAGACGCCAACAGCTTTGTAACCAAACATGAGCATCATAACAGGGTCCATCATCGCCTATCATCACCCAACAGCCTGACAGCATGTGCTAAACAACATGCTGGGGATGCACAGATCAAAGAAGAACAATATGTCTCTCATGCACCTATTATTGACATTTAAAGGGCCATTTAAAGTTTGCATGACTTGATGAAGGTGACACTCACTCTGGAGATGGTGAGAGGCATGCTGAAGTCCTTGCCACCCTGTAGTCTGAAGCCCCAGGGTGAAGGTCCGATCAAGGACACGCTGTAGTTACTCATGGTGGAGTGGGTCACTGTTGTGGGTACTGCCACAGTCCAATTCACAGCCTGAAAAATGACAGCAAAGACTTGTTGTTGTTGTTGTTGTTGTTGTTTCAGCAGGACACACAGTAAAGGTCACTGATCATGCAGAAACAAAACATGATCTAATGCCTTTGACACCTAAACATGTCATTTTGCAACTCTGGACAAAATCCTTGCCTTGGATGCGTCAAATGAAGTTAATACCCAATCAAAGAAATAAAATAAAGCAAACAAAGAAAAATATAAATACATGAATGCATGTAAGCAAATAAATAAGCAAACAAAAAAAACAACAACAACACAAATATATATTACAAACACACACACACACACACACACGAAAATAAAACGAAATCCAATTATTAGGCTGAAATAGACAAATAGAGAAGAGTCTCTCAGATTGACCAGTGTGACTGATTGATCTGGAAAATGCTACAGGTTTTAAATAAATCTAGGGACAAGACTGCTCAGTCCAAACTTATCTCATAAGTACAGATAAAACAAAAGAGCAATCGCTATTTATATAAACTTGATGGGACGAGGGAATCTTGGCGCGCACGGGCAAGTATTTTAAGAGCTTACGGGTGAGCGTGCAGTTGTTGGTGAGATAAAACCCTGGTAAAATCCAGCACAGGCCAAATAGAAACATTCCAGAGGAACGGATTAGACTCTGGGGGGTCTCGCTCAGGAATGTCCCGCAGCCACAACACTGACGAAGTTAAAAGCAATGTTATTCACCTGCTCAGACAATCACTATGTGTCAGTAACTGAGGACATCTAAACTGCAAAATATTCCTGCTTTATTTCAACTGACCCGTTTCTTTCCACACCCTCAAACATGCATTCATATTCGTCAAATGCTGTGACAGAGCTCTCTCTTCAACGTTTATTGATGTTTATTTATATATCACTCTGTGGATTTTCCATTTTCTGTTATAAATTGGACAAATGGAAAGATGAGGGCCAGTGAAAGTCAATGAACTATGTGGATGACAACATGCACCATATAACCTCAACATTAACATTAGCAGCCATCTATTTAATAACTGAATACCAGAATTGCATGGAACGAGAACATGAACGTCAACGGTGACTCAAAGATGCGTTGTGTGCCTCATGTTGTGTCTGTGACTATTGAATGAATAAGTGAAGCTGATGCAACGTTCTTTTGACAGCAGTTCCTCTGGAAGCACTAAGGGTGCGGTTATAGAGAACAACATGTATTGAGAACTTCCCGAATAGAGTGAATCAAGAGTTTTTCCATGCCTGAAGCCATCAGGGCTGTTTGTGTTTGTCACACTGGCTTTCTAACAGGAACATTTACTCATCTTTTCAGATCTACATTAACAATAGTGTTGTGATTCAGACAGAGTCAGAATAACTATAAGATTCTTCAAACTCTCTTTAAGCTGGGGTTTGCAGACTTTTAGTCCATGACTAGTAGTTTGAAAGCATCTATATGAACAAATACTTCACAAAGTCGACAAATTTTAAGCAAATGTAAGATTAGAATTTAAAATGCAAGAAACTAATACACCATTAAGGCATTTTAATGCTTTTTGCTTCTGGCTAAAATATGAGTCCATAATCCATAATAACACGTCCTGCATTGTAAAAGTCCATCTCCTGTTGTCTCTCACATCAAAATCCACCCACATATTTGTTTAGAGCTGTTTTGGACTGATTCTAACGGCACCTATTCACTGCAGAGAATCCACTGGTAAGCAAGTGATGGAATGCTACATTTCTCCAAATCTGATGAAGAAATAAACTTATCTACATCTTGGATGGTCAGAGTAATTGTCAGAAAATGTTATTTTTCGGGTGAACTATTCCTTTAAGCGCATAATAATGGCAATTAGTTACTTTTGAGCTTGAAACATGCCCAGTCATATACACAAAAACAAACTTTTAAACTATAAACAAGGGGTAACCACAGAGGCTTAATATGTCAGTCACCATATGAGCTAAAACAGTCCGAACACCAACAAGCTTTTCCACTGATCTGTCAGTCACGGTTGGTTTTCTCATGGTGCGAATGGCGCCAGGCTGCTCGGTGACGGGTACGACGCGATACCAAAGGCACGCCCTGGAAAACGGACAGCCTGGTATCCAGCCGTCCAATAAAAACATAGCATTTTATTTAGTAAAATAAAGTAACTATAAATTTTGGACTCCCAGCACTTCATTTTTGGACCATTTTCGGTTCGCCAAAAGAACCATTTTTTCTTAGTGTGAAGAACATACTAAAAAGAACCTCTGTGGAATGGAAAGCTTACATGTATGTTAGAGGTTCTTCATTGAACCATCGATGCTAATAAAGAACCTTTATTTTTAAGAGTGAATATTAGCTTAAGATCAAAGCCAAACATCATATTGGCCAGAAACGGCATAACTTTCCAGTTTATGGAAAGTTCCATTTAATGGAGGAATTACCTAATTCTTCATCCATCCAAGCTCTAAAATAACACGCTTATGACAGCCGTTAAATCCCTGTAGACAGGGTTGAGCTACTGATCCATAGGTGGCAATTTAGGAATTTATTATGCCAACACATAAAGAAACGAGCTCTAACAGGGCTGGACTTTCAATGCAACATTTACCAGTTTAATGTTTAGCCATGCAGGTCTGACCTCAGAACCTAGAAACTACCAAAGTGACCCGTAAACACATTCTCAGACGCTGCTTCGATTGGTTAGTCAGCTGCGAAAGCATTCGGAGCTTCCCTGTAAAACACAGGTGCGCTCTGTAATGCTGACCAACTAATGATTACCAGCGTTTCATTGGCTCTTATGTAACAGGAATGCACCTGAACAAAACGTCCTTGTGTTTTACTAGGCTATTACCAACTTATTATTGATGAATCCCAATGGTGAAGCTCCTACAGACATCACCTGCAGACCGGAGACGCAAAACCGCACCCGGCCTGGGTTCAGTTCAGGCGTGTTGGATCACGTCCGTCTGTAATAACTCAATCCAGTCTATCGCATGGGAAGGTTAGGGGGGTTGGTAAAGTGTTGCTGTGTTTCAATTCCACCTACACACATGGGGGACGATCCTGTTTTTGTTCGACTACTTCCCCAGATGTCCCTAAAGAAGGTTTCATCACATTTAGCTCACTTCTGGGGACGATTTTGTATGAAAATATAGTATGCACACACACGCAAGCACGCACACTACTCACTTTCTTGCTTAAAGGACTAGTTCACTTCCAGAATAAAAATTCTGGTAATTTACTCGCCCCTTTTTATTTGTTTAAGAAAATGAGCGATGGTTTGGCTAGATTAGACCCTTATTCCTCGGCTGGGATCGTGTAGAGCTCTTTGAAGCTGCACTGAAACTGCAATTTGGACCTTCAGCACATTGGTCCCCATTGAAATCCATTATAACGAGAAAAATCCTAGAATGTTTTCCTCAAAAACCTTAATTTCTTTGCAACTGAAGAAAGAAAGACATGAACATCTTGGATGACATGGGGGTGAGTAAATCATCAGGAAATGTTTTTTCTGGAAGTGAACTAATCCTTTAAGGTCACTGACCGGTTAGTCATTTGGAACTAGGGCTGCACGATAAATCGCATGCGATATTTAATGCGCATCTTGTCAGAAAACCGACAAAATTACATGAAATGACTGTTAATTATGTTCATACTGCATTTAACTTTACGATTATTATCCACTCAAAAGGCTTCATTCTCCAACACGCCACTTTCAGAGCATTTTTGCTTGGTCCCCCAAAGAATCTTTCAATAAACTGTTTACAGAACCGGCTTTACTCATAAGATGCGCGTTAAATATCGCATTCGATTTATCGTGCAGCCCTATTTGGAACCGACAAAATTACATGAAATGACTGTTAATTATGTTCATACTCTGCATTTAACTTTACGATTATTATCCACTCAAAAGGCTTCATTCTCCAACACGCCACTTTCAGACCATTTTTGCTTGGTCCCCCAAAGAATCTTTCAATAAACTGTGCTTAAAAGACCCATTTTTTTCTTACACACTTACAAATAAACGTTCTTTGTCGGCATTGGTGGTTCCATGAAGAACCTTTAACATCCATGCACTATTAAAAATACAAGTTCTTGATTGGCATCTACGTTTCCATGACCAATCTTCACCATTTATGGAACCCTTCTATTCAAGTAATCTGATTACGTAACTCGCGTTACTTGTAATGCGTTATTTTATTTATTTATTATAGACACTGACTGTAACTCTATAATAATGACAAAACCAAAACTGACATTAAATGGATAAAGAATGCAATAACAAACATATTTGTACTATTTAAAAAAAAAATAGAATTTTTTTGGAACTCTATTACTGATCAAATTAATTGGAAGACTGCTTTGTTAACACCCTTTAAATATTGTATTAATAATAAAACTAAAAAAGGACATTTAAAAAGTACATTCCTTTTGTAAAAGTGAAAAAAAGAGCCGATTCGTTTTTTCTTTGAATGTAAAAATGTCCAAAGCCTTTGGATGGAATTGGCATAATTTATTTTTTATTTAGTAAAGATTAACGACGTTTTTACATTAAAGGATAGTATTGTGTATTATGAAAACAAAACTAACAAAGGTCTTGAATACATTGTTCATTTATTTATATCGCTGGCAAAATCTTATATACGTCAGCAAAAAATGTTTAAATTCATCCCCATTGTTTATGTTGTTTATTGCTTTATGTCACAACAGTCAGTCATTAATATCTTTAAAATATTATGACAGTGCCTATTTTCAGATCCTGTTACCACTTAGACTATTATTTTATGCGCTTTGTTCGGTACTTGCTTCTCCCTTCAAAAATAATAATAAAAATACTGCCAGCACTGATTTATCCAGTGAATGGTTTAATTATTTAACCCTCCTGTTATGTGCACATTTCAACCATGTTTTAACGATTTATTGATATATTTAAATATATCAATAAATCACCTACCCAATATCTTAAATAAATTTCTAGGACAAAACATCACTTTTTATTTTTTACATATTTTATTTATTTAATTGCTTCATTTACATAGACAAAAAAACATT